AAGAGAAGTCTCATGTTTCATGTTCAAACTTCCACAGCACCTGCACATTGGGTGGCTACTCAAGAGGCTAAGATCTGAGAATGCTGGTTTAAAGCCAGCCTGGACAGAAAAATCCAAGAGATTCTTATCTCCTATTCACCAGCAAAAAAGCAAAAACCAGAAGTGGAGGTATGGCTCAAGTGGTAGAACCCCAGCCTTGAATGAAAAAGCCAAGCACAAGTCCTTGAGTTCAAGATCTAGTACCAGAAAAAAAAATCAGAGCTAAGTGGACTAGGGTTAATTTGGTGATATAATTATGCTACCCATATATCAATGCCATCAACGATGTGATGTCATCATTATGACATTGTTTTTACTGTCCTTGTTATTTGTTGTGTTTTATTTTGCTACCCTCAGAATGTGAACTTCTGTTCTTTAGACTAATGTCTTCATGGTAGCAGAATGGCTGTGACAACTCCAAACAGCATGCTTTTACACATCACAGTTCAAAAGCTGAAGAGAGTATCTCCCCCCTTTATGTCCCTCCTATTAAGACTAAAGAACAACTTTCTTGGATTCTCTACTCTTATTCTGGCAATTATTGCAGGAGCTGCTCAATTTGTTCTTGCCTAAAGAATCCATCTTTCCTCTATACAATCTGTGTGCTGGGAATTGTATTCATCCGTGTGATCAGACGTGAAACTCTGTTCTCCTGACTCACACTAGGATCTCAACTCCATACCCCTAGTAGCCATCTAGAGAGGCAACTACATATCAAATAACAACAGACAGTGGTTGTTCAGAAAGAAACTACCTCCTTCCCTGGAAACTTAACCCTGTATCTTCTAACCAAGATGGAAGACATCCCAGACTTTGCCTAATCTTTCTGTACCTTAAATGTGGCTTCAGAGCTAACTGAAACAAAGGGTCTGTGCAGAGTCTTGGAGAATGTTTGCATGGTGCTGTGCTTCTCATTGGCTGCCCACAGACATCTGCACCATTGGTAGATCTGTATGGCTCTGAAAAAAAGAATATTGTTATAAATATCCAAATGACCCCTGGCAGATTAAAAGTTGCCCACCGGGGCTAAGTGTTCACCCCACGCCTTGGCACTTCCAGCTGGACACTTCATCTTCAGACACTAAGCACCAAACTGAACTGTGTAGCCAAGGACAGATTCACATAATTTTCACCTCCGCTTCTAAAGGTGAGCTGCCACCCCTGGGACCCTCACTAATGATGTTTGCGGGCCAAACAAGCAAATTAGACTTTCGTTCATGTGGAGCAAGAGAGACAGCTCTGTTAGTTTCATACCTACAATTACACTAAGTTGAAATCTGCTTTAAATGAACATGGAAAGCCAATTAAGTCATCAGTCAATGCAGTGTTGGTGGCTGGAGCTCTGGTATATATTTAGATCTGTTGTATTGATTTGGAAAAGATTTTCTGCCTTGCCAGGCATTTGATTTGATTCCAGGAGGAGGGAAAAGCTGGGTGCTATGGAGGTTTGGTGTTGGCCATAACATAAGACGTGTAATCATCATTTGTTTTGATGTTCGTGCAAGACCTGCACCTCTTCTCCCAGATCAACCACAATCACGTGGTGAACTGGCGTCCACAAATCTTGGAATCAGGAAGTGGCACATTTAGTGAGTGAATTTTATTTGTTGGTTTTGTTTATTAGCCTTTTCCAGTAACAGTGCCTTGGATCTTTGGATGTGACATTTGAAAACAGTTCTATCAATAATAGCAATTTAAAAAAATGTTCCTACGTCTCAAAACTGTGACATTGGTAAAACTAAAGTGTTGTAAGGTGAATCATCCCAGAAGCCACATTTTAAAATACAGAATGGTGGAGTCTTTATTATACAGTTAGCAGGCTGCAAGCCGCCAGTTGTTACAAAGGCCGGCAGCATGCAAATACACATAACACAGCTAGGAAACATACTAAAGAGGAAAGAAAGCACAAAAACAATACCAACAAGCCAGTTCTGCTCCAATGGAGAGCTGAACTGAGATACCATGATGACTGGAGACAAGCCAGGAGACAGGACGCAGGACATGATCACGGAGACACATGAGACATGGAGTCCAGTGGCTAGATTGGCACAGAGGGCAGATCCTCAGGAAACTCCCAGTCCCAGGCACTGGACTGAGAGATTCAGCCAAGTGTCTGCCCCTGACTCCAGAGGTCTGGCCACGCCCATCACCTGGGAGGCAGGTAAAGAGAGGGGGGGGCTCCCTTCCCCCAGCATGAAGACAAGATGTCAGACCCTACCATCCACCATGTGGCCAATATGGCACCGGCCAGACCTGACCTCCTGACTTCAAAAGCGTATCTTTTTCCTCTCTTATTGCAAGTTGTGTCCTTAATTTGATGGCTGTGGAAGGGCTGCCAGAGACTAACAGCCTCCTAGACAGTGATGTAGAGGAAGAAATGATTATGTTTTATATTTAGCTAGATTTATGACTGCTGACTTGGGCAAATGAGTTCACTGTGAAGATTCTTGAGACTCTGGTGCAAGTTTGAATGCAACCATCACAAGGTTATAATCTTTTATGAAGTTTAATCCTTGAGCTATAGCCTTCCTTTAAAATAATCACTTGCTCTTCGATTCACACACTCAATGTAGCTCACTTTCAAATACTAAAATCTTTGTGCCTTTTTTGTGATGGTATCTTACATTAACCAAGTGTTCAAATTCCAATGTGGCAAGTTGTTTTCTTTCTTGTCATCTCCTAAGAAGTATTGACTATAAAAGAGAAGTGTCTCAGATTTTGCTGTGCCTTTCTAATCTTTTTTGTTGTTGATTGTATTAAAATGTTATTAAAATTGTGTTAAAATTTTAATAGTGTAAGTACAGAGAAATGTGGCCACATTTCTCCATTGGGATCTACCTATTTTGTTAAATAATTTGTTAACTGTTCATCTTTTGTAACTTGAGGATACCCGAACTCTGCACTTCACCCATGTATCAATCAGGACTGGTGGTTGCTAGGAACAGAAATGGAAGTCATAGTAGTTTAGCCCAGATGCGTCTGCTGGTTTATGTATAGGTGTAGCCATGACAATACCTCATCAAGACATAGCTACAGTCAAGAGCACAAGCTGCTTCACCAGCAATCTTCCCCTTGCTATTCTGATTTCCTCTGTGTAGACTTATTTCTCTGATACATTTTCTTTCTTTTTTTTTTTCTAACCATGAGTACCACCCGCCATATGTCCTGAAAACATCGGGTATTTCAGTAAAAAAAAAAAAATTATAGAATTAAATTAAATTCTATAAGGGCCACTGGACTCACCTTTGTTCAAAAAAAGAATTCTCTGTCTCAAAGAGTGGAAGAGTATGAGGAGCTGCAAAAGGGGGTCTTTCTTGGGCAATGTTGGGATTTGTTAGGACAGCACAATCCAGACTTGGGAGTGAGACTTCCCAAACTGCGGTCACCACTCAGCCCCATGCTGTGTATGTGTAGTCACGTCACAGAGAACCTCCACCACATGCTAACTCTGCAGGCCTGGCGCATTGCATGCATCTGGGAACTCCCTGCAGTGTGAACCCCACAGCAAGCACACAGGAAAGTGAGCTGAGGCACTGATGGCTGGCAAGAGAAAGAGCAGCTTGCCAGCGAAGGGGAAGAGGCCACACTGATGGGAGTTTAGCCCAGTGATGAGGTTTTCCTCAGTGTCCAATGACCTTCATTCTTAGAATTCTTCTGCATTTGGTGCTCCCTGGGAAATTCCTCGAATTCAGTAAACATACTTTCATTGTCCCCTGGGATACAGTGATATCATTTACATTCCATCTCCAAAGAGGTAGCTGGCCAATCTTGTGAGTGTTCCAGACCTTATGCGTTTCTTATCAGGTGCTGCCTGAATGCTTGGATAATCTAACAGTGTTTAAGCCTTGAGTCAGGAGTGTAACTGTTCCCCTGAGGTACACAGATAAACAGATCATCTTCCAAAAGCACTCAGTGAAAACAGCAAGTGATATAGGGAATTTTGTAAAGTGTGTGTGTATGTGTGTGTGCTTGTATGTGTGTTGTGTTTTGCTGAAGCCTGGATTTGAACTCAGGTCTTTGTGCCTACTAAGCTTGTTTGGCTGGTGCTCCACCACTTGAGCCACTCCACCCAGCCCTGACTTTTTGTTGGTTATTTTGGAGACGAAGTCTTCAAGGGTTTTCTAACCAGGCTCACTTTGAACCACAATCCTCTAGATTAACTTGAATTATACGTGTGAATCATCAGTGCCCAGCTGGAGTTTTGCAGTCATTTTAAGAAGGTGTCAGCATTGCAATTTTATCAAACATAATTCTTAAAGAATGTTTTAAAAAAAGGCATGTAGTCAGGGAGAGGAGTAATATTCACATCACCCGTGGTTGTGTTGTGTTCTGTGAAGTTGATTTGGGATGTTGGCACTTTCTATCCAGGAAGAGGCAGTAGAGCAGCAGAGAACATGTTCATACTTCTTCATTTACTCAAAAGAATCCTCTAGGCAGGGCACCGGTGGCTCACATCTGTCACCCTAGCTACTCAAGAGCCTGAGATCTGAGGATCATGACTTGAAACCATGCCCAGGCAGAAAATCCATGAGATTCTACATCCAATTAACTACCAAAACACCAGAAGTGTAAGCACACACGTGCACCCACCCACCCACACACACACACACACAATGTATCCTCTGGGCACTGGTTAACACTTCCGACCCCAAAGCTCACTTTCAGGATACTGCCATTTGAGAGGTCCCAGAAAGGTACAGAGCCTGTCATTCAATTCCTGTCTCCATCCAGCCTGACTCTTCAATGCATTTGGGACACACTACCCTGTGAAGATGGGACCTTCCCCAGGTCAAGATCAAATTGCAGTTGGGAGAGTTTACCAGGGAGAGGGCTGTAGACGATCTCACTTCACCACACCCCTGGTGTGAGCTGCTTTTACACCGCGGTGCTGTGGGGGGGGGAGCTGCTCCTCTTTTGGACTAAGCTACCCTGTGTTGCCTTCTCTGTCTCTCACGCTGCAGATAGAAGACCTGCAGTGGGGGAGAGGTGTCCGGGAGATCCCCTCCTCCGTGTGCACACTGCCCTGCAAACCCGGCCAGAGGAAGAAGACCCAGAAAGGCACCCCATGCTGCTGGACGTGTGAGCCCTGCGACGGATACCAGTACCAGTTTGATGAGATGACCTGCCAGCACTGTCCCTACGACCAGAGGCCCAACGAGAACCGGACAGGCTGTCAGAACATCCCCATCATCAAGCTGGAGTGGCACTCCCCCTGGGCGGTCATCCCCGTCTTCCTGGCCATGTTGGGCATCATCGCCACCATCTTCGTCATGGCCACCTTCATCCGTTACAACGACACACCCATCGTCCGGGCATCCGGGCGCGAGCTCAGCTACGTGCTGCTGACCGGCATCTTCCTGTGCTACATCATCACCTTCCTGATGATCGCCAAGCCCGACGTGGCCGTCTGCTCCTTCCGACGAGTCTTCCTGGGCTTGGGGATGTGCATCAGCTACGCGGCCCTGTTGACCAAAACCAATCGGATTTATCGCATCTTTGAGCAAGGTAAGAAATCGGTGACTGCCCCCCGGCTCATCAGCCCCACGTCCCAGCTGGCCATCACGTCCAGCTTGATATCCGTGCAGCTCCTTGGGGTTTTCATTTGGTTTGGCGTCGACCCGCCCAACATCATCGTAGACTATGATGAGCACAAGACCATGAACCCGGAGCAGGCCAGGGGCGTGCTCAAATGCGACATCAGCGATCTGCAAATCATTTGCTCCTTGGGGTACAGTATCCTCCTCATGGTGACCTGTACAGTGTATGCCATCAAGACTCGGGGCGTCCCGGAGAACTTCAATGAGGCCAAGCCCATCGGCTTCACCATGTACACCACGTGTATAGTGTGGCTGGCCTTCATTCCGATTTTTTTCGGGACAGCGCAGTCAGCAGAAAAGGTAAGTGCAAATGAACGAGCAGCCCTTCGTACGGTTTTAGAAAGATGGTGGCTAGCTGGGTGCCCTGTGGCTCAGGATGATAATTCCTAGCTACTCTTGAGGTGGAGGGCTGAGCATCACAGTTTGAAGCCAAGGGCAAGGCAATCTGTGAGAGTCTTACCACCAAATAACCAGCAAAGAGCCACAAGTAGAGCTGTGGCTCAAGTGTAGACCTACTAACCTTGAGAAAAACAAAACAAAACAACTAAGGAACCATATCCAGGCTCTGAGTTCAGGCCCTGGCATTGCTCACACGTGTGTTTGTATGTCTTAAAAACCAAGCAGGTTGGATAAAATAAGAGGTTTTTGTTGGCAGAATAGCAGTCCCCAAGCTTAAAAGCCTAGACTTGTTGGTGAATGGTACTTGAGTTTAAATATGCTATAAACTCCCCACTTAAACCCAACCCAGTGTAACCTTTCAAGTTGTTTTACTATGGCATTATTCACGGTAAGAAGGAATGATTGAGTACAAAGCGAGCTGATCTACCTAAATTAAATCTTTCTATTGATTCACCAATTCTTGCACAAGAATTTGGGGTAGGTAAATGGGGTACCTGTGTTGCAGGTGGATGTATCTAAGATGGCCCTTATTCACATGGTGGTGAGCTTTCTGCCTCTGCTCACAAGAGTGTGGGTTACCCACTCACATACTCCCAGTAGAGCTGGGGGGCGTAGAGAAAGCTTGGTTGTCATCTACCCAAGGCTAGATGGATCTACCCTCTGGCTAGATGGATACTAATCCCAGTAAGCCATTTGTTCAACTTTCTCACCAGGACAGACAGAGGATATCAACAGACTGTGGAACTTGGAGGTGTATAAGAGTCAGATATATTGGAGGCATATTAGTGTCAAAGTTAGTTGCTTCTAATACGTTGGTCCAAGATAAAGCTAATACGCCAAGCTAATAGGCATCTCCCCACATAAATAAGTACTCATTTTTAAATGCAATTAGTGTATGTTTAGGTATAGTTTTGCCTTCTGTGCCAACTGCGCATACACAGTTAACTTTTACAGTCATCTAGCCAGTTATAGTTATTTGTTTATCTGTTTTCAAGGCAGGTTCTCCTATTTAGTCCAGGCTGACCTTAACCTTAACCTCATGATCCTCCCTGCCTTGACCTTCCAAGGCACCTCTGTGCCTGGCCTGCCTATAAATGGGGCCTTGTCATTAGGGTACGATGTAGGGACATTGAGAATCTATCTACTTTCAAATTACTTTGGACCAGTCTCCCAAAAGTTCAGTCTCCAATGGGAAAATCAGGATTGAAGCAAGGATGTCTAGGAATATTCGGGAGACTAGTCTCTCGGAATTAGCGGAATGCGGCTTTTTAAATTTTTACCTCTGCTCTCAGCATTTTATCTACATGATTTAGTGACATCCAGTTGCTTTTTTCCAACAAAAATGATGTTGTTTACCAAGACTGTGTGATTCAGAAGCTGCAAGCTTGGGCTCTATTTCCTTCATGTGAATATTTCATGAGACCACGCACGATTCTAAAACTAAGGGAAGTGAATGACTCCAGATTATGGTTTTAGTCATCGAAAGTCTTAAGAGGAAGTTCTTCTAAAATCCATGTTCAATGATCAGAGCACACTCCTCACGGGATTGCTCAAATTCATAATGCATGTTTATTGCCTGTGAAGCCAACTTGAATTTCATTTTATTTCTTCTATCTGTCCCTGGGCCAAGGGAATAGTAAAATGTATGAGTTCGGAGAATGAAATGCAATGGAGACCAGAATGAAATTCCTGCAGGCCACGTGGAAGCCCATGCAGATGACTGTGTTGTTAAAGTGCACAGCGCCCCCTGCAGTAGGTGAAGGGCACAAACTCTCTCCTGTGCATTTATGCTTGGTGATCTAGAAGATAGGGAATGATAGTCACTAAGGTGTTACGGAGGAGTCTTGTAAAATGTGTTTGAGTCTCTGTCTCCATCATGTTCATTTCTAGCCGCTTCTACTTATGACTGTGGGTCTTTCCAGGAAGACTCACCTGTAACGTTCTCAGTGAAAAGTCTTCCAATGGCACAAGGCTTCAGGGATTCCATTTGCTGACTGAGGTCATTCTAGGAGACATTTTCTCCTAGAACTCCTTGAACTGCCAGGATTGAACTGTGGGAAAGAATTAAGTTGTCTCTAAGTGGTAGGTGTTTGACCCCAGAGTTTTAGAAAACTGACTTACTTTCTTTGTAGACTATTCTTTTGTGTGTGTGTGTGTGTGTGTGTGTGTGTGTGTGTGTGTGTGGTGCAGAATGCAGGCTTGAACTCAAGGTGTGGATGCTGTCCCTTAGTCCCTTAGTTGTTGTTAGTTAGTTAGTTTGTTTTTTTTTTTCACTCAAAGCTGGCACTCTAACAGTTGAGCCACAGTTTTACTTCTGGCTTTTTTGGTGGTTAATTGGTGATAAGAGTCTCACAGACTCCTTCCTTGGCTGATTTTGAACCATGATCCTCATGAGTAGCTAGGATTGTATATGAGCCACCACTGGCTGGCTTCTTTATAGACTTTTAATGGGTTAGAATGCTTTACATGATTAGTTGTCATAAGTGAGTAAAGGTATAAAATTGGCAAATTGGATAATATTCAATGAAAATGCATGTCCACAGATGATAGGCCTGTGCCTAGAGAAATAAGAGGGACTGATTGAAAAATAATCACTTCCTCTACGTACAGTTGGTGGCACTTAAAATGCAAAAAAAAGGCAAATGCCAAGACAAAGAAAGAGAAGGAGGCACAAAGCATGCTTGCCAAACTGGCTGTATACAGAATCACAGGCTTCCCATTTTTGTTTCTGTTTAACAGTGTAACTTCCTGAAATGGAAAATTTTCATTGCAACAGAGACTAAAAAAAAACTACAGTAAATTCAGTGATAACTATTTACTGCTTCAGAAAATTCGACCCATTTTCATTTTGCAAGGGATACCTTTGTGCAATTTTGGTGTTTGAACTTCTTGGAATACAAAGAGTGGTTACGCAAGATTCTAATTTTCTCACAAAGTCCCCACAAAGATTATTTTTTATCTTGTTAGGGAGAATGCAAAGGGCCATGGGTTATCTTTTCTGATCACTGTTTAACAGAGTTCGAGAATGAGGGCCTTGTGACATGAGTAGAGATAAAAGTGTAAAGCTCTGGCCAGAAGAGAATTATTCTAGGTTTCAGAAATTTCATATAGGCAAGGGCAATGGTTTTGGAAAACTATAAAAATACTAAAGTAACACCCTCAGAGAAACCTGAATTGAGATACTATGCCATTATTCTATCTTAGCACTATCTGTTGAAGGATTGGATTGCTTCCTCTCAAAAAGCAAAGACAAAGTTTGTCGATATACCTAATAAGAGAGTTATACATACAAGAAGACACATGCTTGAAGCGGTGACTCTGTGACCACTGGATCCATTTATATAGCATTTCTATGCCGGCCTGTGTCTGGAGAACTTTCTAGGAGAGCTGGTACAGTCATGGGACGCTTGAGAACATGTTGGAATACCGGACAAGTATATGCACAGCCACAGTACCAGGAGATGATACCCCTTAATGATAGGGTAGCTGTCTTGGTTTGTGTAAGTACTCTCTATGATGTTTGCCTAATAAGGAAATTGCCCCTTCCTGCATCTCAGCATGGGTCCTGAGCATTAAGTGACACAGGACTGTCTGTACATAGTTTCTCATAGGTAAGCAGGAAGATAAACTTTACCCAACGTGGCCTGCACAGGGACAGTAGAGCTTACTACCCTAGGCCTGGAATCTGGGCTCTCAGCTGTATTCTTTTGGGCTTGTCATGCAGTTGTTTGGCTATAGAAAAGGTGAGAAGGAGAAAAGGGAAAGGTTGACACAACCAAGAGTCAGAAACATTTGCTGGGAAGGAATAAGAGTTCTAAGGAAGAAGAGTTTTGCTAACATGGTACCCACAACCCTCTCCCACACATATGAGAATGGAGCTAAGTGTTTTACAAAAATCAAATAGCAGGATGTAGGGTTGTTTTTTTAAAATCTTATTCCCCTGTAGCATCAGTGCACAAAATGATAGAATTCGGGCAACTGATAGCAAATCTCTGTGCATCTCAAAACTATGTCCATTATAATCTCCTGGGGAGTTGGTTTACCAGATAAGTACAAGTCTGCCTACCCCACAGAATTATGGGAGAGCTCTAGGGGGCACAGGACTATAAATACTTTAACAGGTGTGCTGGAAGATTACCATTCGTAGCCAACTATATGTTTTTCTCACATGCTTATATTATTCTTTGTTCTGATTAACCCCCTCTATTCTCCTTTCCCATCCCCCTGCCTATTATATATATTTTTTAATATTTAAACTATTTTCTTCCTGTCCAGAGAGTCAATCTTCTATATATTTCTTTCATATGTACTTGTGGACCCCTTTAGAATAAATGAATTCTCGTGCCAAACAAAGATGAGAAAGACATTAGCCAGGAACAAAGATAAGCCCAAGGATTTTTTTAAAAATCTAGTGAAATACCAAGGACTTGAACCCTAGACTTTCAGAACCAGGGTAAAGGCTTGGGCCTCAGGACCATGCATGATAGACAGGTAAGAAATGTTTCCCAAGAAATAGAAACAGATGTCACAAACCCCTTTATCTTCTACACATAAGAGACAGCTCCCTCAAATAGGAGCCGCAAGCCTGCTGAAACAAATATAGGACTCAGAAATCTCAGACCAAAAAAAAAGAAAAGAAACGGCAGACATTACTAATCAATAATGACACACTTCTTGGGAACCGATGTATGGTCTCGAAATCATTCTCAATACAGTCTTAGGGCAACCACTATTAAATCAGGGCTGGAGAGAATGTGAAATCTATGTGCCATGTCTGATTTAATATTAACTCCAACAAATGACACTTGATACGTCCTTCCAAGCAGCTGTTCACACTCAGAGTAAGACAATCAGAGAGTGAATTAATTATGAAGATTAATCTACTTGGTCAGGATTGCTGC